ATCCTGAGTATCTCCTTTACCTCTTCAAAAGATGGAAAAGGAAACGCGCAAGAAGAAACCTCCTTTCTCTCTCAACGAAAACACGGAAAGAGTCCCACCAAGTCATTCAGCTGATTTCTAGCAAAGAGCCCCTCTACCTCTTGGTAAGTCTCCATCCCCTCTGAAGAGAATTGAAGGGAGCTCGCTTCACGTCGAAGAAGACAGAGCTCAAAGCTCCTCCAGTTTCAAGAAGACGAGCGAGAGACAAGAGAGCTCGTTTACCTAGTCATCGACAAGACATGAGCTCCATTTCCCTATATTGGTAAGGAAGAAATCCCCTAGCAAGTCCTCTACCGCAACATCTCCAAGGAGCAAAGAACAAAGAACCCTTCCAACTTCACGAGAATGAAAGTACTCCTGCTGCCTCTTAGTCGAAACTAAGAGAGAGGAGCTCCTTGTCGTCCCCTCTTCCTCCTCAAGGGACAGAAGGGAGATAGCACTCAAGAAGTGAGGACAGAGCTCTCTCAATCTTCAAAAGAAGAGCCTGATCCTCCCCTCTACCTTCAACAAGATATGAGCAGCCCTCTACCCCATCTTCTGCATCAGAAAAGAAACCCTTCGAACTCCACGAGAAATAAGAGAACTCCAGCTGCGTTTTAGTCGACAAGAAGAGAGAGGAGCTCCTTGTCGCCACCACTTCCTCTCCAAGGGATAGAAGAGAGATAGCTCTCAAGAAGTGAGGACAGAGCTCTCTCATTCCACATCATTCTTGGCCAGAGAAGATTTCTCTAGAGAGATTTTTTATCAGTCGCCAGCCTTCAAAAGAAAAGACTTCATGCTCCAAAACAAGAAGAGAGTTCCCCCAGGTTGTTCGTGGCAATATAACAGAGCATCACGAGAAAGAAGAGAGCTCCGACTGCTTCTCGGGCGATAAGAAGAAAACTTCTTTCTTCGTCAGGAGCGACAGCTCTTGACCATCTCCTCCTCTTGAAAAAACATGGAAGAGATCTTACGATCAAGAAGAGAGGCTGGTTTTTTTCCAAATTTCAAACTTTGACAAGAGAAAGGCTGGTCCTCCCCGCGGCTTTCACAAGGAGATGAGAAGCCCAAGCCCCCTACCCTGTGAAACAGGAAGAGAGCTCATTCCAAGTTATTCTTGGTAAGAGACGAGAGCTTCATTCTAGCAGAGAGAGCCTTTACCTCTTGATAAGTCGCCTTTATCTTAAGAAGATTGAAGAGACTTCGCTCCTAGCAAGAGAAGCCAGGGCTCCCCCAGCTTCCAAAAAGAAAAGTCTTCTACCTCATCCTCCACAAGACATGACTGCTACAGGTTGTTTCGCGAGATAGATCCCAAAATCATAAATCGCAAGGGGTGTCCCATTAGGTTTTGAAGAAACCCAGAACCCAAAATCACGGATCGCAAAAGGTGTCTCCCTAAAGGTTTGTGTTAGAAATAAGTTCCCAAATCATAAACCGCAAGGGCTGTCCTAAGGTTCCCCTTGAGGTTTGATAAAAACTCGCAGATCGCAAGGGGTGTCCCCCTACAGGCTTTGGCGCGAAACAGGTACCGATATCATCAAACCGCAAGGGATGTCCCCCGGCAGGGTTTCGCGCAGAATAATGCATGGGTGGGGGGTCAATTATACATGCATGGAGTCTGCGCCTACGTCACCTGTGTCATGACGTGGTCTGTGGTGGACAGCACAAGCACTACTTGTATACAGAAACGCAGCCATCCAGCTGCCAAATAGACCCTATTTATGCCAGCCACCACCCCCCCCCCCCCAACCCGACTGTTTTTTTTTTTAAGCCGCGCAGGCTTGTTTTCAAGAACATCGCATCATTCAAACACAAAGCTGTTTTAGACTTTTTCAAAGCCCATCATAAAGGCATTCTGTTTGCCAAAAGGCGTGCATCATTGCTTTGTTTTATGTTATGTCGTAGGGCGTTATATTGTACTATATCATGTTGTTTTAAGTATATCAAGCCGTATCAAAGTATATCATCTTTTAGGATACTGTAGTAGATTTTGTCATATGATAGTGTATTAATATACTACATGATGCAACATTTTATGTTGTTATATCATGAAAAATATCATGTTATGTCATATAAAGTTATATCATATCATATTTCATCATATCATACCATATCATGCTATATAAAAAGGAGCAGCAAAATCCACCCCGTTTTAACCTCTCAACTTCTTATGCTGTCATGGCTTCGAGCATACTGCCTTCTTTTCTCGTACGGGTTTTTGTCTTCTTGGCTTCCTTGGCTTCTTAGCTGCACGGTCTCTCGGCATGTAACCCCACAAAAATGCCGAAATCTTCCAAATGAAAGCTTAAGCCCCCAGTCAACGGTTTCACCAGATCCTGCTGTGTTTTTGAGGTGACACAACCTCAGAACATGAGACAGAATCCGTTGTTTTCCTGAGGAAAAACCAAACAAAACCGAAGGAATGAACAACGAATCCGTAGGAAAGTAGTGTCGTTCCTAGAAAAACACCAAAATATACGGAAAATCATGTTTTCCCTTGTAACACGCAGGAAAACACGCGGCTTTCCTATGCTTTAGGCCAAGAGCACAGCAAAAAAATAAATACAATTACAAAATCAATTCCAGGCCCGTTTTTGGTGATTTTTCCGGGCACGCCTCCCTGCGCGTCTCCGCTGTAAATCCTCTCTTAAACCCTGCGTGGCAGATCTTCGTTAAACCCCTCGCATTGCCAGTGCAGGCTCTAGAAAAAAGTTTGCTTGCCAGATCCTTACCCAAATCCTGCCTTGCAGATCCATGCAGATCCCTCACTAAATCTCCCTTAGGCATCCTCCCTTAACTTGAACCCTGCCTCGCAGATCATTCCCTAATGCTTCCTACTCCAAACAAACCCTTAACTCTTCTGTGCGGGCTCTTGCATCTGCAGCAACCACTCCCATTCGCGCATATTCGCGGGTAGTTCTGCCCTGTATAGGGCATGCCAAGCCTCGGCCTTGCAGATAACGCCACCCAAGCCTCCGCCTGGCTTAGAGCCCAAATAGTGCCCAAATAATGCTCGAAGTAGTGGCCACATGAACCCTCATAGTGCGCAAATGTATTTCCTTCTTGAAAGGAGGGAGAAAAGCTTTTCTTTTTCGCGGAAAATCACTTCAGCAGGGTTGATTTGGTCATCATTTCGGGCACTATTCGGGCATTATCTGAGGGTGCCCAGACCCTGCAAAGCCTCCCCGCCCTCCAAGTTGCAACCTTTGCGGAACTTGGCGTTGCCTCCAAGGCGCCCCAAGAGCCGCCCAAGGCTTCCCAGCTTTGCAACACTTTCGACGGCCTTTAGGAGGCTATTTCAGGGCCGGAAAACCTTTTTTCCGCGGTGTGCTCCGCGAAGACTACTTTTTGTAATTGCCGAAGCGCAAATATGACGGCACACTATCTACTCCTTCCCGGCCGCAAGGCAAAGTTCGTTTCGTTATTCCCTCAGACTGCACGACGCCATCTCCCCCTCCTCGGCGCGCTCCCCGAAGACTACTTGCTAATTTAATTTCCGAAGACTATTTTTAGTTGCCGAAGCCAAAAGTTACAAGAGTGCACGCACACATCCTTTAACTTTCCGCACCCCTTTAACGACATGTATATAGAAACAAACAGCCATTCCAAGGACAAGTAAAGACTGTGGCAATTGGAAGTAAAGGATGTTACAAGTCTAAAGTCTCCCGCAAAACCTTACCTAGGGTGATCCCGCACCCCGTAAGTTCAGTTCTCGCCCCGTCTAGGGCGGATGTATAGTGCACGATATGCCTCTGCATATGCTTGCCCAACTTCTCAACATGGCTTCAATTCCTGTGGAATCTCCTTGTCGATTTCGTTTCCACACACGACTACATGCCAGCTGATGATTTCCCACGCTGTTGGGTCTGTTGAGCACGGTCGAAATCGCACTACCTGTGACACGTTACTTCCTCTGTGCCACAAAGCAAGGGACGTTTCGTACACTCAAACTGCACGGCGGTATCTTCCCTCCTCGGTGCGTCCCCACGAATTAATTTCATTGCCGAGGCACGAAAAGATACAGTAGTGGCGGCACACTGTCTCCTCCCTCGCGGCCACAAAGCAAGGGACGTTTCGTATCCTCAGACTGCACGGCGCTATCTTCCCTCCTCGGTGCGCTCCCCGAAGACTACTTTCTAACTGCCGAAGATTATGTTGAATTGCCTAGACCAAAAGTTTGAGGAGTGCGCGCACACGTCCCTTTTTCCGCGACCCCGGGACACACATCTAGTTACCGACCTTGGCCTTACCAGATTGCGAACACCACGCGTACCAGCTGCTGGGGAGTTTTACATGGCTGGTTAAAGATGTGTGTCCATGATAAAGTCACTGGTCACCATCGTAGCTCTGCCTCGAAGTTTGCTTTCATCGAGTTACACGAACATGGCATGGCATGGATTTTCGCCCATTTCGAGTGCCTGTCGACAAAGCAGGAGTCGAGGCGTGGATTGCTGGATTCACGCAAACAAAAAGATTCCAGTTTTCTCATGGTGATGTGTTCCGGAACGCCGGGACACGCACCGGCTTTTTGCACCGGCTTTTTGAACTTACTGCTCTGTTAGTCTGGCCATTTGGATGGTGTCGGGCTGAACCGAGAACCCCAACGACGACAACATTATCATACATCATCTGTACTTCAGTGGCGCTCAGGTGATGCGGTTGTTATGATGACGGGTTATAATCCCGGAACTCCATTCAGCACGCGTGCTGTGCTTCTGCATGGTTGCCGCATCGTGGTTGATAACTACGGTGGCCTAGTGGGTCTTCGGAGGATTTCCGGCTTGGCTTCAAATTGTGTTTTGCTGATCCTTGGGTGGTCGGCTTATGTACTTGGTTGAACGAAACAGCTTTGTGGCACGAGCCTGCGATGTCATGATTGAAATCGTGGCAACGACTTGAATCGAACAAGCGTGTGTCGGTGTGCGATAATGTATGTCTGGTGTATTTGGGCGCGTGAGGAACAGTTGCTTGGTGCTTGGTGCATGCAGGAGACCAAGCGCGGGCTGACCGAGAGCCTGGGTCTGAAGCTTTGGTGGGTGTTGGCCGCCTTAGCACAGGCGCCGTGGTGCTGGTCTTTAGTCGGTGACGCAACCGTGTATCGGAGTGTCGGAATGGTAGGAAGTAGGAAGCAGGTGAAAATGTTACTGGCTACACACATGATGGCAAGCACCGTACTTAAGCGAGGTTTCAAGCCGGGTTGCTTTAGCCATCCCTAGCCGGATCAATAGGGTGCCGCAGGTGATCACAACTTACGACCGTGCCTCCAAGCCTGGTGGGGTCCAGCACTCGGAGGAGACCGGCGAGGCTGTCTTTAGGAAGTTTGGGCTTTTCAGGTGGCGCTGGCTTTCGAAGCTGTGGAGCTCCTGCTGTGTGTGGCATCCGCAGCGGTGACACCTGCCAGATTCAGCTTTGAGCTGCGAGCTAGTCAGCAACCATGTCTCGCCTTCAGCCTCGTGCGGCCAGGCGTACCTGGCGCCCTCTGGACGCCGTGGCTCCACCCGAGAGCCGCCGCTTCTCAGCGAGGAGACCGTGCTTTCTGATGTCTCAATGTCTCCTTCATTTTGAAGCTTAGCCCCAGTGTTTTGCTCTGCCGGCATCAGGAGGATGGGATTTCAATGGTTGGTGGTGGGGGAAGATTTGCCTGCTTCTCGTTTGTGGCCGTTCAAACTAGACCTATTCGGATTCCAGCTGCACTGCAGGCACGAAGCTTGAGCACCCGCGAACCTTCTCCTGAGGTCAGGGCCTTCAAGCAACACTCAGCCGTGGTGTCTGTGTTGTGGTTTGCGTTGGCGCTGTGTTGGATTGCCCAGGACCAAGTGGGCATCATCGGTTGGCTGGTGGCGGGCTCATGCGGGCTCGAACTTGGAATCTTGCAGCGCCAAGAGTTGCGAAGGGAGCTGGCAGAAGCGACTGGAGCCGCAGTCCTCCCACGGCTTCAACCCTATAAGAGTAGTTGAGGCCTTCAGCTGGTTCACGCCCATTGTCGACTTGGCTTTCCAGCGTGACAAGGCACAAATGACACATGTTAAGTGTGGGGCGCGCGTTGCACGCCTTTTTGTCCGAGGAGAGCGGGAAGCTTGAGCCCACCGATGTGTACCCGCTTACCAACAGGACATTTCAGCGGACCTGTGACGGTACTTGTAGCGCGCTTGCCGCTTGCCGGCCTGTCGAGGAACGTGGCGAACAAGCAGCTGGAGCGTCTGGACCAGCAGTGGCAGGCCGGTGGAGCCGGAAGCATTCCGGGCGTTTCGGAGATTCTGTGGACAGTGAAGTCAAAGGTGGAACTCCAGAAAGAGAAGCCCGCGCTCCTGTCTGCGATGACGAGAGCATTCTTCACCGAGGCTTGGCCAACTGCCAGTCTAGTGCAGTGGGCCTGCCACGCTGCCTGCAGTGCGAGGTATTCAGCACGGCTTGGGTCAAGCTCCTCAACGATGTGCTCCATTTTGCTTCTTCCTCGAATTTTCGAATCCCATGACCTGCCTGCTGCCTGCATGTCAATGTGCCCAGTTTCCAGGTCGGACCCTTCCTGCTCAACAGGCACGCCATGGCACGCCTGTCTGCGTCTCTGCAAGGCTCCAGCTCGACATTACTCTGCAGGATCATCAACTTCGTCAAGGGCACGGGCGAAGAAGCCGGAGAAGAAGCTGTTCCGCACTTCGTGCATCCTTGAGCGGGCCTAACATGTGCCACTTCGTGACAGTTGACAGGAACAGTGGGTTGGGTATGCTTATGCCGTCGGAATGGTGCTGTCGTCAGCTTGCCAGGCTGGCTGGCTGATCACAGACACGTGCGGCGCGTCGCGCGCGTCGCGTGCTTGAGAGAAAGAGCCCTTTTTGAGGCTTTTCTTATGGCCCACTACTTCCAGGGGGGCTATCAGCCTGCGGCCCAGCTCTGTCATGGGGGAAAGCAGGCTCCGCTCCGCTGCAGGACGGGAATGCGCTTGCGCACGGCCTTGATCCTGATGTCTTACAGCAAGGCGGCGAAGCAGGGCGAAGGGCGCGGGGCATGGCTCCGACTCTGAGGCGCTGCGAGTTTTGCCCTGGCCCAGTCCTCCCCCGCCGGAGGAGGCCGTTCCGGTGGGGGGCCCAAGGGCCCAGGCTCGGGAGCCGAGCGCTCGAGCTCTCCGCTTCGCCCCGCCTTAAGGCGCAGACAGAGACTGAGACCCGGAGATGCTGCAAAAAGAAGCCGCTCTGCACTCGGCCCTCGGCAGACTCCAGCTAGCCGCAGCTAGCAGCTGCCACGTCCTCCTGAGGCCCAAAAAGAAGCCCAGCCTTCCAACCGGCGGCATGGGGTGGGGCGCAACGGGCACAGAGCGAACTGTGCAGCATCGTTGAGCATTCTTACTTGTCTAGGCAGATGACGAACATCATCTCCGCTGACACGGAGCCATGCTGGGCAATTTCAGCCACAGTCAGCTGGAGTTTCGTGCTGATGTGCTTGGGCCGCCATGGTGAAGGGTAGCCTAGTTTCGCCTTCGAGAGGACAAGTTCACTTTTCTCATGCCGTACTTCAACCTTATCTGGTCTTGCCCATTGCAGGCAGAAGCTGGCTGCAGAAAAGTCTTCTTAAGACGTCAAGCCGAGTGAGCATGCTCTCGCTGTCAGATTATCATCTGTTTCATCATGCTCTTCAACTACGTGAGTTGGTCACTCTTCGCCGGTGTGGTGGCCACTCGTCCCACACCATCCTCACCTTAAGTGTGAGAGAGAGACAACGCGACGTGAGAGGTGATGATCGGATTCACCATCGTCTCCAGCACCGTCGCCGGGAAGGCCGGGCGGCCAGTGGCGGCCAGGCCAGGGCACAGGCATCGAGACATGTGCTTTCCTGCACTGAGGCCAGGAAGATCCAGCAGGAGGCCATGAAAGCTAAGGATGAACGGCTGAAGATGGAAGTGGAACTCCTGAAGCCTGAGCCTTACAACGCCTCGAAGTGAACGTTCGAAAGTTAGTCTGTAATTTAACAGCAGTGAGAGGGGTTTAAGCCATCAGAAATCCTGCAAACCCATCAAAAAGCCGCCACGGAAATAAGACATCCTTTTTCGAGCCAGGGTAGTCTTGGTCTCCCGCGATTGCGATAGCTATTCTGGATACAGTGTCCCCTGCCCCTCGCTCTGGGCATGCAGACATTCGGCTGGCAGCCGCACCATGGTGGCTCTGGGCATGCAGTGACATGCAGGAAGTTTGTCATGACAGCGCTCGGAGCCAGAGCAGCCCTCCGCCTGAGAGGAAATAAGGGCGGCACCGCGGGATAGAAGAACACGCACCGAGGGGCGGTTGTAGGCTCAAGACTGCAGACTCGAAGGCTTCTGTCCCAAAGTCACGAGTTAAGTGCAGTCTTCAGCATTTTACAGTTGGCTCAGCGCAGAGTAGTCGGATACTTATGCGGGAGACTTGAGTGCAGTGTTGAAGTCGTTTTTTCTTTACACTGTCATGTTACATCAGGGGGGTCGCGCGACGGAAGCGTTTCCAGAACGTCACCCAGAGCTCATTTCAGCCGATCTGCTGTTTCCATGCTCCCAGAAGAATGGGTCTGACTCTCTGTGAGGATAGTGAAGATCATCAAGTTCTACGCGTGGGAGCTGGCCATCGAAGACAAGGTGAAGCAGCTCCGGAACCAGGCGCGCGCCGAGACGAAGAGTCGAAGAGTCGAAGTGGGAGACGGGAGAGACCTTATAACTGGTTATAGGGTTTGGGCACGTCAGGAGCTGGCGCTGCAGCTGCGCTACAAGCTCTGGAACGTGGCCCCGGGCCCCAGCTGGGCGCTGTGTGGGGGCGAAGCGAGGGCAAAGTGTGTCGCGGGGTGTTTTTGAAATCGCGAGCGCCGAGCGCTCGAGATCCCCTATTCGCTTCGTCGCTTCTTCGAGGCTCTCTTCCTGTCCTTCTCCCTGAGCCCAGTGCTCGTGGCGCTGGGTGCCATGGCGAACTCGGGAGCCTTTGCAAAAACCCTCGAGACGTTCGAGAGAGTGAGAGGTACCTTCGCCTGCTACACGCCCTGGGCTGAGACGGTGTAAGCTTTGCCGCTTTGGATTTGACGTTGCCAACAAGGCTCGCCGAAGGTAAGAACTTGGATGCGGTCACGCACTCGACCAAATCAGGGCAGTTTCGACAGTCGTCTTGTCGTGCCATGAGCCATGAACAGGCCACTGCTTTCACCTCTCTGAGCCTCTTCAACATCCTCTCATTCCCACTAGGTGCCCAACCCGAAATCTGAATCCTGCCAAATCCTGCCAATCTCAGCCAGGTGCAATGCCCATGATGGCGCGCTTCTTCATGGAGGCTCGGCTCGGCGGCTCGGCGGCTCGGCGGCTCGGCTCATAAGCCGTGCTGGCAGGCCGCCGTGGCCAAGGACCGCATCGAGGCCTTCCTGCTGAGCCCAGAGGCCCTCGACTCTCGACCAGCCCCAGCGCCATCCCAGCGCACCTGCCGCATCGCAAGCCCTGCAGCCCTGGCGCAGCCCTGGCTCGCGCAGGTCTCGGCGCGGCCGTCGGCTGCTGTCACGAAGGGCCGGGCTCTGGAGCTCAAGGCCTCCAAGCTCCAATGGCAGGGAGCCTCGGGTCAGAGACGCGACGCCGCGAAATTCGGCCAAGACATGCAGCCCAGGCCAGACAAGACCCTCCTCTTGGAGGAGGCGCTGCGCTTTTTTTTGCAGTTCGACCTTTGAACTCCGACCCAGCCTGCCTATACTGTACTAGTAGCGGCCTAGCGACCTAGCGACCTGTAGCAGCCCAGCAGCCGAGTGCGCGGACCGCGGACATCCGCGGACGTGAGGTGGAGATCTCCGTGGCCCAGGGCGACATGCTGGTCATCGTGGGAAAGACAGGCAGCACGGCTCAGCACGGTATGGCAGCGCATTGTGGTGCTGAGAGCTTGGGGCTTCGGGCATGCTGAAGTGATTTCCGTTTTTGTTGACAGTAGTCGCCTTGTGGTAGGGTTTTTTCCCCTAAGGCCTCACGATCTCTCCAAACCTTATGCAGTGCCAATCCTGCAGAGTGCAAACGAATGCTATGCACGGAAGAATCAAAGGTCATGCCGAGAAGCCAAGAGAAGAGGCAAGTGTAATTTTTTTGGGCCCAGGTGCTGGCAAGTCTGGGCCATCATCTTACCGGTCAGCGCAATCTTGGTCATGCTCAGCAGACCCTCCTATAGGAGTTGCATTTCCTAGGCTGCTCTATGCCTTGTTGGGCGAGCTGCCCATTCCCGCCGAGGATGGCAAGTGCTGGCCTCAACAGGGCAAAGGCCCAGAGGCATCCAAAGGCCCAAACATTATCCAATGTGTGCTCTTTGCTCTTCCCATCTCCCTTCAGCTCCGTTCAGGACGTACCTGACCGGTAGCATTGGCTACTGTGCTCAGAGCGCCTGGGCCAGTGCCTCGGTGGACCCGGTTTGCGCCGTAAGCCGCAAGCACATCAGCATGGAGAGCTCCCAAGATCCGCAACGCTACGCTGCGCTGTCACCTCAGCTTCAGACCACATCAGGCCGTAAGGCTTGAGCCAAGCATGCCAAGGACTGCTTCCCTATGTCCAACAAAGGTGACAACATCACCAACAGCCCCTCGCTTGAAGCTGACGAGCGCTACGAGGTCGACGGCTTTCCAGCGCATCGTCCCCAGCCCCCAAGCCCCACCGAGCCAAACAAGTCTCAGAATGGTCCCTTGAACGCATAGCCGTGGCCAATAATACTCCCGCCGCGGGGGACTTTTCGCAGTGAGGCGACCCGTGATGAGCATGCAGACACGCCGAGAAAAACAGTTCATGAGTGCATGCCCGGGTAGTAACTGGACAATTCCATGGCTGCCTGTCTCGTCGTTCTCATTTCGCTGCTCTTGAGAACTGCCCGGGGCGCAGCCACATTTATGTCGCACTGGTAGCAGACCCGAGGCAGGGTTTGCTGCCTCCTCCATGACGTGCTGGCGGGATGATGAATCGTGGTGGACCGAGATGGCAGATCTGGACCTATGGAAGGACATGGCCAAACAGCTGCAACGGGAGGCAATAACAAATGGTGGTGACAACCCACTCGCTCCCGCAGCCCGAAGACGAGCTCGCGCAAAGCTGCGTCCGAAAACCCTTGGCTTGTGTTTATTAAGCGCTGAATCTTAACATGATAAAGGAGGCGAAAAGGCCGCGCGCGCAAGGTACGCGCAAGCGCGGACCAAGGGACGCGCAAGGAATAAAGACAAGGATGTCTATTTATGTATATATGTCTATGTGTATGTATGTATGTATGTACAGTCGGTAAGATCTCGCGAGAGAGGTTTTGCATAGCATGGATGGGTGAATTCTTGCTCATTCCATCCAAGATCCGAAAGCATTATCCAGTGCAGATCCTTCACCACGGTATTGTATGAGCTCATCCAACTAAACGCCAGTGTGATGTATGCTCGAGGTGTCAAGCGGTTATCAGGCGGAGATTTACGAAAGACTGTCACGCAACATTTTCATGGCAAGTACGTAGTACCACTCCAAAAATTTCAAAACACCGGCGTAACTTGGCGCAAGGCCCGCGCAAGGTGCGCGCAAGGTGCGCGCAAGCACGCAAAGCGATTTGAAGGTCTTGGCCCACTCTGGTCTTGACACGGCTCTTCCAGAAATGGCTGGATGACGGTCAGCCTTACAACCCTCTCCTGCTGCTGCCGCTCTTACTGCTGTCACTGCCACTACTGCTGCCCCTTCTTCTTCTTCTTCTGCTGTTGCTGTTGCCGCTGCTGCTACTGCTACTGCTACTGCTACTGCTACTACTACTACCACTACTATACTATTGCCACTCCTACTTCCACCGTCGTTCGGAAGCCGAGCACGAGGTGAGAGGGCCCGTGGCGAGCTTACTACGACGACGACGACTACTACTACTACTGCTACTGTTACTGCTTCCACCACTACTTCTACTACTGCTACTACTACTACTACTGCTGCTACTACTACTACTACGACTGCTGCTGCTGCTGCTACTACTACTACTACTATTACTACTACGACTAACTACGACTACAACTACTGCTACTGCCACCATGCAGCGTTGAGTCAAAGCATTCTCAACTATAACCATCCGTTGTAAGCAGTTGTTCTGTAGTTTCGTGTCACGCGAATGCATGTTTACACATTCGTGTGTGCGCGCAAGCGCGCGCAAGGTCCGCGCAAGCGCGGACCAAGGGCTAAAACTAGGACAAAGGAATATTGGACAACGCCCATGACGAATGCTTGCATTTTGACGTGTCCACGGATGATGCATGCAGAGGCTCGCCTGCGGAGGCCAACGCACCGAAGCAACACAATGTCCGTTTTGAGGCCGGGCCAAGTTTACTTTCTCTCAGCCGAAAGAATCCTGTAAGGACAAGGGCGTGAATGCGAGGAAGATTGACATCAAGGAGATTATCGAACACGAAACCAGAGCGAGCGAGCTTGATTTCGAGCGGCATGGCACGCGCGCGAAGGCACCATTGATGCTGATAGTCTCTGGAGCTCGGGCCGTCGCAGAGTTCATCTTCAACAAAGTATGAACGATCTGCCAGTTGTATGAGAGACGGTTGTCGAAGACAGAAAGTGTGGCGCTGGATAAGGACCCTGACAATGTGTATGGTCCAACTAAACGTGGATAAGACCCAAGATCAAGTTCATCATGGACACCGGGTGTGGTCATAACCTGATCTCTCAGTGGACAAACACTCCGACGTTTGGTGAGTTGGACTGCAACCTCCTTCATCACAGCAAGCGGGGTGGCCGATATTGACAGGACCGCCAACTTCCAGACGGAGTCATTCAAAGAGCCTGTTGAAGCGCATGTCCTGGAAGACACACCGTGATCACTACTCCAGCAGAATGCCTTGCGGCCCCCCCTGTACGGGGGCTCCCGGAAGGCAATAAAATGCCTTTCCACCCCGTGAAATGCATTGCGACCCCCGCTAATGCCTTGCGCCCCCACCCTTTCGGATGCCCCAGGATAACTTGTTTTATTTCCGATGCTCGCTTGGAGGCTAAGAGCACATACCCCCGGTTTTCGGCTTGAGATGGGGGGGTTGCTTCAAGGCAGTTTCGGCACCAATCCCAACCGCCCTGCCCAGCGGGGACGCGGTACCGGCCCTGTGCTCCGACGGACCGCGCGCACTGAGACATGTACCTATTCAGGCATGTGCCTTATCCAGGGACCCAGGTGGGCGGGTGGGGGAAGGCATTCCAATCATACCCAATAATGCCTTGGGGGGGGGGGCGAGCAGAAATGCCTTTCGAAGTAGTGATACACCGTGCGTGTTGAATGGGGGTAAGCGATGCACGAATCGTGTGCCCTCCCAATCGTGAGCCGTACATGCCGTACATGATCGATCCTGATGGGAATCGCGTGTCGTTGCGACGGCACGCAAGGACGACGAGGGATCGTTGTTGTGGTGCAAGGAGTACGCCGATGTGAAGGTCGCAATGCTCCGTCCTGGACGATGATGGTGTGTCAATTGAAGAAGCGGACGTAGAGTCGACGATGGGAGCATTGTCTGACAGTTCCGGAATCCGAGGCAGGAAGGGCACCCTTGGGCCACCCGATCGAAACTCCTGAACTTGGCGATGCTCATTGATGGCGAAGGAGTTCCAACACGAAGAGCCAAATTTGGTACCCTGAATGCACTCATCGCTATCGCGGTCTTCTGCTAGGTGTGCATCAGGGCCAAGACGAGAAACATTATCGGACTGAACGTGGATCTTTCTTGACGGAGCCGGTTGCGTGGGGGGACCTATATAGTCACCTTCAACGACTTCTTGGATAGGAGGAAAGCAGCCCACATGGGTGTTGGAACGGATGGAGAACTTCGGGAAGGTCGTCGGGAAATACTGGTTGTGTGTGACAGGCCAACAAGGGTATAGTGGCCATACCAACTGCTTCCAGAGACACCGATGATGCTTCTTTCGCGATAAAGAAGTTCATGGGCAGGCGAAAGATCCAAGCTGCTTACGGCGATGTGGCTCCAGCCCTTGATGCCGCAATGGCGCACCTCAGGATTCCGAGTGCATGATCATTCTCTGAAAGGAGGTGATCAACGCCGTGGCAACTTCAGCGTTACATGCAGGGTTACCAGCAAAATACTGGTCCTACGCATTGAGTTGGGTGACCCACGACCTGAACAGCGAAGACGCGCAGGGTAACGGCGATCCTCCAGCCCGGAAGCATATGACGGATATGACGCGAGAGTCGTTCAAGGGGCAGGCGATACTATTTGGCGCCAAAGTGTTCTTCAAACTTCAAACCTACTGACGCCAGGGGGAAGACCGACGGTGGACATTTGTTGATCTTCCTGAGGATACCAAGCATGCCCGTCAGACATAGTCAAGAAGGTGTCGCGCATGGTATATAAGGAGTCTGCGCACGAGAATCTTCCCATGGATGCTAAGCTGGTGTCGCCGTACACAACAGCGGTCGCGGTGTTGCCGGAGAAGATTGAATGTCCCCTCAGGGTCAAGTACGAGAGGATGAAGTCAACCTTGGAAGGACTTAAGACTAAAGGACAGCATCAAGCTTGGTGGGACCAACTTTCGGACGCATGGAGACCGGAGAGAGAGGACGAAGTGACGAAGACCGCCGATCCCAAGGATGATCGTCCTGCTGAAGCTTCGAGTTCCTCGAGTGCTAAACGACCATCAGATCCGGTACTTGACACTGATGACATGGGGCCGACCGGCAGATAGGCATGGATGCGACTCCCGATGTCCTTGGTTCGGCGCTGATGAGGTACAGATGTTACACACGGAGTGGGAGGTGTCCAGCATTCGTTGAATACACACGTGCGACGGAACCGCAGGAGTCACACAGCGAGAAATTCGTCCTGGATGTGTTGGTTGACCAAGGAGGCACGGGGGGAAGGCGGTTGTCCGGGGGGGGGGGGGGGGGGGAAAAATTGTAAAAAGGATGGTTGTGAGGTGTAGCCATGCTGGGGTTGGGGCATGTATAAGTGTTGGTTCTGAGACCTTGCCCTACCCTATATAGCCACCTCATCCATTCTCTCACATGCTCACCTGTCTCATTCCTGCCTTCATCGTCGCCTTATCCGTTATCATTGTTTTGTCCCGCTCTTTCATTTCGTCTTCCACCCCATCATCAACATCGTCGCCTCATCCGTTTCTCATCCCAATAAAAATTTAAGTATCTATAAATTCATTTTTTCATTTCTTAACATGGTCACCTAATCCGCTTTCATCCTTCATCATATCGCCTCACCCGTTTTCTGGGACTAAGCCCCCTCACACGCTTTACCAAAGATTTATAATAAATTAATATTATAAATATTTGTTCATTTTTTAATCTTGTTCTCTATCAAATATTTCGTTTAAATGTTCTTGTAATCTGTCAAGATTTAAATATCTAATATCTTTACCAATAAACTTAATGAGAAACTCATACATAATGTATTTAAATAACACTTTATCAGGATATGTTTTATTGTAATAGCTATAATGTAAGATTAATATGTTTTCTCGTCTGGTAACATGTTTCATTATTTCCTTATTATGAAGAAAATCTAAAACACTATCAAATTTTTGAAAAAACCTTACTCGGTAGTTCTTAATAAAAGATATGATTACTTTCTTGTAAGGGTTATTACTAAACTCAAACATATTGACTAACTTTTTTACTTTTATTGGTACATTATCACCCTCAAAATATACATCAATATTGTCTCGGTCT